TGGAAGTGGGGGTTGTGTGTCTGGGGGGCAGCGATCGCTGCTCAGGAACTGGCTGGGTATCGGTCGGTGGGTGGTGAGCAATTGCACTGTGCATCACTTGCTTTGTATGTTATTATTACTATTATTATAATATTGTTGTTGTTACTATTATTACTATTTTACTTTAGTTTATTTCAGTTATTAAACTGTTCTTATCTCAACCCAGGAGTTTTCTCACTCTTACTCCTCCGATTCTCTCCCCCATCCCACCAGGGCAGGGGAAGTGAGTGAGTGGCTGCATGGTGCCTGGTTGCTGGCTGGGGTTAAACCACGACAAGGCTGTAAAATGCTAAAATAGAAAGGCCGATTTTCTATTATTCTGAATTAAACTTATACGGCTCATAGAGCTCCTCATTTTTCAGAACTCACTCTTCTAATCAAACAATTCACTCTCTTTAACCATGGTGAAACATAGTGCAGGCTCTCCTATTTTGCTCACTGAAAACATGGGACATAGATGAATAAAAAAGAAATATTACAATGCATTACTTTCCCCTTGTAGTTCAACAATGCAGATAACTGAACAAGCAAGAAAACATTTTAAAAGAATACATTTCTTCCAATAATCCCAGGAAATCTCTATTTTCGGTAAGAAATAAAATGCAAGGTAGATGAAAATCAGGATGATTTGCACACTGACACGAAAAGTGATTACAGTTCCCTGGATGAGACAATCATGACTAACTGTCAGAAATCACTGACTGAACAATGCAACCCAGATTCAATTCTTCCTCCATATGAAATTCTGGCTAATGATAGGCTATCTTAGGGGCTCAGCAGAATTTATTTTACTTAATCTCATTTGGCAAGCTCATTTTTGTGTTGCTTAATCTTTTATACTCATGTCATACAAGTCAAGGACACTAGCTACCATAATACCCAAAGGCCAGAGAGCCCACCAAAGAGCTTGAAATCTAACATTGCAGGAAATCACATACAAGGCTGTGACTTAGCAGCTCACAACGTTTTCCTCCATCATTACTCTCATTCTCAGTTTTGTTAGATAAATCATGCATGAAAACAGTGTTCTGCATTATTGAAATGGAGCCTTAAACCACTTGTGACTAAGGAACCAAAAACCACGAAAGCAAAACAAAGCCCTGCTGTCAGAGAGCCCACAAAATGAATAGATACAAACCTAATGACTTGATTACAGTGCGCACACATGGGAGTACGCTTTCCCGCAGGAATATGCTCTGCCCTCTGAACCAATGTGTCTTGCTCATTTAGCTGAGGTGCTGTCGCAAATTTTTCACTTGGGCCAGTTGTTCCAGGTGGTTTAATACTGTTTGATGTCCATCCACTGGCAGGAGCTGGAGAAAGAGTGCCAAAAGCGTTTAGAAGACCATCCTTTCAGTACCAAGTAAATTATTTTGAAATACAAGCAACTGACAACATTTGCCTAACATCTTTGTCCAGCGTATACCTGCCTACTTAAAAGGAACAAATTAAAAAGCACTTATTTTCCCCTCCTCCCCCACCAAGTAAGTCCTACCTACTTTATGAAATGTCTGTGAAATAACACAGAACGGTTTTGGCTAACTTGTAGAAGTAGTGGACAAATTTCAACATACTAAACAAGTTAGGCAAAAGAATGTAAAACCTGTGAAGGCATTCTTTTGCTTTAGATACAAAAGCTGAAGCCAAGAATATCAGTGTATGAACACAGACAGGAGAACGTGACATACCTACTCAAAACATTTTACAGTGAGTGCAACAGATCATACGTCATTTCTAACAGATTAAACAAGAGTACGCATTTAATACAACACATACAGGAACTTAAAATACAGTACTGTATAAGGAAAACATATTTCTAAATCAAATTTAAACACTAGTCTAGATCACTAGATACTGCCAATCTGAAGCACTGCAAAGGCCACATTCACATCCTCTTTATAAAAGTTATGACACTGAAATAAAAACCTGACGCTTTCAGAAATGTATGTATCTACACGCTCCCATTTGGGCTCAGGTCTTTAGAGTCATAGAATAGACATAAGCTTTTATGGAGTACAAAAAATGCATTTACAAAAATGAAAAGCACAGATGATACTGTTGCCAAGGGTAATGAAGAAACAAACAGTCCTCTGCTTTTCTTTCTTCTCTACTGATATATGTACCTTGGTAACATACAAGCTACAGCAACACAAGTTTATGGGAGCAGTTACTCCTGTCAAGTGGAGAATTCTTTTTCTTTTTCAAGTATGCCAACCCCCCCCCCCCGCACATTTCCATAGCCTTTTGTTTGTAACCACAGGCAAGAGAAACCGTGAGTGTTTACTCGGTGTCCTGGCTTTAGTGCAGCTGTACTAAACCTTGTAAACCAAAAAGTGAAATTAAGATCCGAGTGGAAGCTCAGAGAGAAACAACTAAGCAATGACAGAGACGTCGGACAGCACGGGATGGTGCTTCTGTTGCAATGATGCAGCTCTCCAACACAAGGTCAGGGCATCGGTATGTAGCTGTGCAAAAAACTACTTTGTGGAGCTGTTAATCTTTGTGCTAGCCTTCCTCTCCCATCTTTCAAATCATCTTCCAGGGAAAAGATGAAAAACTGTTTATCATTACCTCCCTTACTGTAATGCTGATCAGCCTCCCCCCTACAGAAAAGTTGCAAATACCTTTCAGGTAAAAAACTGCATTCCCTGCTCAAATGGAAGTGGCATACTAATTGACAGGGAAGATAAATTTAAGCAACAGTGAATACACATAAAATTCAACAGAAATGCCAGTCCCTTACTATTTACAGAAGTAAGATAGCCACACACTGCACAATTTAATCAAAACAATACAGTGAACTTTAGTTAACCCCCGCCACCCATGCGTATTTGTAGGCTAAGGCAACACAGCTGGAAGAGAAATCCTTTTTAACACCGCTACTTTTGTACTATAATTATGCTTGGTATTAATCCACTGATACGGGCTCAATACCTACTTTTGCTTACTCTTTCTCTGTATGAAGCAGCAATATAGTCATACAGCTTTTTTTGTCTAACTGGCTGGTTCATCAAATTTTCTCAAATCAGGTAATTTCCAGACTGACATATTTTTGGATCCTTTTCAGTATCTGAAGTAGCAGAAAGTATACCAGTTCATCAGGGGGTTTTTTTGTTGTGTTTTTGTTGTGTGGGTTTTTTTTTTAAATATAAGACTATTGATTATATTTAATGTATAATTAATTAATTTGCAATATTTTAAAAAAGTAACATCCTGATTCTAGAAACGTTCAGCATTCCTGAGTAGTAAGTGTTCAGGAATAAAGGCACTTGTTCTTGGACAAATCACTCTGCTACTGTACTTCATTTTAGATTATAAATGCCTGCTAAACTGAAAACATAGGAACAGACAAAAATGGAAAAGGTGGCAGAAAGGCTTTGAAGACATGAACAAAAGTGGTTTTGATTGATAGCACTTTCCTCCTCTGTCATCACACATGGCCTTCTAATTTTCAGGTCCCATTTCATGAGAAGACAAAAATACACACTAAAACCAAATCTGTTTGAAGACTGCTTTTGCCATAAATCAAATTGCAGTGCAGCTTCTAGCATATTGCTAATTTCTGTTTGAGTTATCTGCTGGATCCCAAAGCCCATTCAGACACATCAGCTAGCTCTTGTTTGCACTGTGTAGTTAAAAAAAGTCTTTTCTGCCCGCTCAAAGGCGGGGGGGCCGGGGGGGAAGTACAACCACCACAATTACTCCCTTTTCTTTGGTCTCATTACAGCTTTCATTAATGCTGTTTTTATGAATGATGCTTTTCTGAACACTACCCAACTTTAACGTTACTACTGGCCAGGAGCAGGATTTGTCTACATAAACTTTCAGAGTTGTTAGACAAACCAGTTATTTCTGAGTTATTCAAAGCACTAAAAAGGGAGAGGAGGAGATAGTCCATCAGCCTGGGAAATAACTTTGGTCTATTAATGACCCTATGTTAAAACAAAAATTCTCTTTTAAGCAAACCATACTATAAACCACACGAATTAGTACTGTGTTAAGCAAGAGGTGCGGCCTAAGGAAAAACAAGCTGGGCATTTAGTATTGAGGACCAGCGAAAGGAAATGGACCCACTCCACTTCCACTGAAATCGGTGAACTCAAGTTCAACGCCCAGACCTCCAGCAGATGCAGGAATCCCATGGGATCACAGCCACAATGCAAATAGAGTAAGGGGAATAACAAATAAGCCCTAAAGCCTTCAGATACTTCTGTACTTGCCAGAATATTTTTGGATACTGGACAAAAAATAAGTTCTAAAGGCTTTTCACCCGTCATTTTTAAATTTACGTCACTATTTGTTCTACTATGATGGGAACAGTATCTAATTGATGACCGCAGATGCCATCAGCAGCTGAGAACTAAGACAGAAAAGGTTGCCTTCTACTCAAAAATCCTTGAAAAGCAAGACCTTAAAGCATTTTATTAAATGCTCTCTTCTTCCAACTTTTGAGGCCAGTGTAAAGCCAGGAAGCTCCCTGCCCATGCTCACAATTTGTCCCCCACAGCATTCTCTCACGGGGCATTTTTCTCTTTGCTGGTATTTACATTAAGACCTTGTTGGTCTAGCACAGTATTATTCCCCTCTATTCCAGTTCTGAAGTGGACTCAAGTTTCTTTGAGTTCAGATTTTTCATCCTAAAGAAGAGAAGTCAGTCTGCTTCCATTGCCTTTAGATCCATACGCTTATTAAAGAAAATAAACCAGTAAGGTACAGTAGTAGTAGCTATTTCACCACATTTATTATACTAGTTTCTTTGTAAGCCTTCTGCAGTTGTTCTGCTAGATTTTTTTTACCATAGATCATTCTCTCTTTCTCACCGCTTGATTTGCCTCAGTCTTTTATCTTCCTCATTCCCATGTGAACACCAGCCTGAGGACAGCTTTTATTGCCCACTTGTGTCTTTCCATAGGCCAGAAACATACCTTTAACACTCCAGTAATTTTAGCAAAGGTTCATTACTTCCACTGCAACTCACACAGCATTTTTTTGTTAGTGTTTTTGTTTTGTGGTTTGTTTTTTTAAAAAAAAACACTATTAGTTCCCTAGTTAAAAATCTATACAGATTCTCAGTATTTTTTTCCAACAATATTCCACCTCTTGCAGCTACAGAATTTCAAATATTAGGTCTGGATTTTTGTTTAGAATGAACATTCATGTTTCTTAACCATCCCTTCTATTTAAACAGCAAGTTAACTCCTGTGCTGGACAAGATGTTTTTTTCTGCAAGCAGAGAGGAAGGGGACACTCTCAGAGTTCCCTCATTCTCCTCCTCTCCTTTCTCTTCCCTATTCCCTTGGAAACCTTTCAGATTGAAACACAACCACAAGATTTAAAGAAAAACATCAGGCCCTGAAAACTTATGCAGGTGTTCTTCCTTGCAATGAGAAGCTTTTACCGGGGCACGCAAGTAATCACAAGGTAGGTACAAATTATTACACTCAATCTAAGCAAAGACCTCTCGACTCTTGGCAACCAGTTTGAGCCCTCCTGTGGTTTGTGCTTTATGCTTTGCTTTTTACATTTTACATATATGATTTTGGATCCCATCAGCAGCTCTGTTCTCAAAGAGTGCTGGGGAGGTGCCCTGGTACCCGACATCTGGTCAGGTGCACACACATTTTTAATTGCGAATGATGGCTGAGTGGGGACGGAAAAGGAAACAACTCCAGCTGCCTCATGACACAATCTCACCACATATTTTCTGGGTGCCACCTTTGTTGCATGAAGTGGGACAGGGTGCAGCAACTTTCATGGGTGCTCTGAAGAATTGAAAATTATAATAAGTAAATATGATAAATAAAGAAATTCTAATTTATGACAATTATACACGTCATCAGGAGCTATTCTACCCGAAGTGCCAGAGATGTTCAGGTTCTCCACAGGTCGTGAAAAGATCTCTGTAGTCAAATTTTGGAGTTCTGCAGGCTTCACCTTCACTCTCTTTAATTAAACCTTCTAAAGCACCATTGATTTGCACTTGTGTATTGTCATAGCTGGCTTTTCTCAAACAGAAAACACTCTGTACCAAACTATTAACTTTCTACTTTATTAGGTTTAAGTTTAGCAAACCCTCAGTGTTTGCTTTCACTAAACTCCTTGTTATGGCTAGTTTAATATTTAACAAAGTTTTAGGCAAGGTAAAGAACTGGCTTTTTTTCTTTCTCAAAAATCCCAGTGTGACTTTGCCCTCGTTAGACTAACAATAGGCTGTTCCATCGCTGAGCACATGGATAACTGCAAACACTGGCGAAAGGTTTGGAAGACAAAGGGAGAAAGGCGGATACGCGGCGGTGCCAAAGTCACTTTGACA